ACACGCGCGCGAATTAATAACGTTGAAAATATTTTTTCGAACTGCATAAAGACGATAATCTTATCCATGCGCAGAAAACGTGCTTTCACTTTTCTTGGACTGTTTTTTTTTTTTCATTTATTATTTACCCGCTAGCTTATGTCATTTTTTACTTGAAATTTTTTTTGGCTTTTTCGAAACGACTGCGTATATATACTCGCACACACACCTACCCAGAGAGCCATGCCCTTACAAGCATAGAGATCGTGCTCAATTAATCAAGTTGTTTATTGCTTTAATTACATTAATTAGGGTTCAAGGGAGCGTGTTACGATTTGGCTTACACGAGATGCATGCGCGGGTGCCTGACTGTGTGTGTATGCAGATGCACGTCTCGCTAGTCATCCTTGATGGAACGGATACGATTTCAATGGGGCACACACTCACACGTGCTGCTGGAGAGACACGAGGAGAGCAGCAAGATTAGTTTTGGGATAATGATCAGCCAAGTACGCCGTTCAAATCGTTATTTACAGCACGAGGTGCACACGATCGTCGAGAAGATCGTCACCCGTTTAAAATAATTAGTTATAAAAATTACCATTACTTAGATCTATTCTCTATATATACACCGCGCGTTGTTGTGCAATTCAAACCAGATACTAGCGGCCGTTCGCGCGAAGTTACATCTTCGAGGCCAGCGAAATTTAAATTAAAATCGCACGGGACCTGGTCTCCGTCCGTCTGCATGCGGAGGGACCACCTACATATCCCGCGCACGACGAACGCCGCTATACATTGTATTATGGGATATGCAACCGCAAGATTCTGAATGTTATAATAGTGCGCTTATGAGCGCGTAGCGAAATAAATTCGGTCTCTTTTAATCGGCGTTATAAATTTCGCAACCCACATTGAAATCGGTACATTGCAAATTGCACTGTGCGCCGTACATATTTCATTCGGAGTATAGAACAATGGCTCGCGACTAGATATCGTTACATGATTAATTTGATAAAAAAAAATGAATCAAAATGACTCGATTCAATATTTCTTAATTAAATATTTATCGCGTCGCGTTGAATTATTCATTTCCATTTCGATTTTACGGCATTCGCGAGAAACTGATTTAATTATGATTTTATTTTTTCATAATCTTTTTTCAATTATTTTTCTTCTTAATTGAATAGAACTGCATTTATGAATTCCCCAGATGACAATATTTATATCTTTTTTTTTTGCTCGAATATGTCTTTTTCATTTGCCATTTTTTCATTTTACGCTCTTTTTTTTTATTCGCCTTATTTAAATAAATGACTCAGTTTTTTTCGAAATACAAATCTTCCTGAATGCACAAGAACGCAATGTTCCAAAATACAATATTTGCCCCGCGAAATTTCACATCTTAGGACTGAAAGGTACTGACTATAAACATTTTTTGAATGAGTCTAATGAGATAACACTCGCACCTATACACGTGAATATTTCGACACGCACACAAGATTATAGTAGAATGACTTTGTACCGTGATGAACATTGTGAATATGTGTTTTTAGAGCACGAGCTCGTTTAAATGGCTTTTGTTGAATTTCTTCGCCCGCGTAAAAAAATGATGTCATAATTCATTTGCATTACACGAACTTCTTGTGTTGTTGTACGGCTCTCTTGTTTTTTTTATCTCACGCATTTTGTAAACAATTTCGAGACTCCAAGACGGTGGGATTTTGTTTTTTTTTATTTCAAAAGAAAAATCGACGCCAGACTTGATATTAAAAATTTTCGTTTGAATTTCAGTCTCGAGCAAATAATCCACGGCATTGCAAAATTAAAACGTCTGCCGAGTTTCATAAATGAGGAATTAAATTGTGTTTGTTCAAGAAAATTTTTCATTCCCTACACGAAAAAATGTTTTAATGAAATTGACTCGCCAAATAGTGTAATCAAAAAATGCTGTTTTAAAAGTCTTCGATATTATTTTGTGATGATTTAGTACCAACATTGAAATTTTTTTGCGCCTTAAAAAATCAAAGCAAATACGGTAGCACGTTCACGAAAAAAAGAAAAATAAATCATAAATTAGAAACGTGGCTGTATATTAGCAGCATTATGAAGATTCGAATTATCGCCTGCGGATGCATTAGCTAAGTGTGTGTATGTGTGTGCGCGCGCCTATGTATAAGCGAAATCACCGATATAACTAACGCATAGTCACATAAATAAACGGATCAAAACCTCCTCACAATGCTTTTATTTCTCATTTTCCCGGAATCTCTCCGCGCGCGCTTCGTATGCGTACGGCATAAAGTTTCATGTCGTTTACTCCCTCCTCGCGGAGTGCAGCTCTCTCTCTCTCTCTCTCTCTCTCTCTCTCTGTATGCATGTAAAATTTATATATATAACTCGTCTTCCTACGCCAAAATCCATTGCAAAATACGTTTATAATACAAACCGAAAGAAAGACGACTTGCGCGCGCCAAAGGAAGAACGCGATAGTAGAGGATGAATTTATAAAGCCCGTGTATAGCTGAGTTGCTTGAAGGAGGCGCAGCTATATTAAACTCAATTTATACACAGGCCTTATTATTTACGCTCTTTCGCGAGATCCCGACCCAAAAATCGCAGCGAGATTCTCGCGCGCGCACACAAAAATTTATCGCTAAGACCGTGAAATAACGCGCCACGCTGCGTGCGGGAGGAGTCTCTGTTTATATACAACGTACGTGCAAAAGAGAGAAAGAGCTAGAGAGAGAAGAGGATGACGTTTTAATCAATTCTAAAATCCTAATGTCTGATGTGGCATCCACAAAAGAGTAACAAAAAAAGGGCGTAAATATTTTGATTATGCATGTATGCACTCGTGTGAGAAATTGACTGCCAAGGCAATGGGAAACGAGAATGCGCTCGTACACAGGTGGATGTATACACACACGTATATATGCAAGGACTATAAGGATAATAGGATTTTCTTGAGTGTTAGTCAAACTCGGGCTGCTCAGGGGCGCGCGTCAGCGTAGCGTGCACACACACACGAGCGAAGCACCAACGTTTTACGAGTGTCGTGTAAATACGGGAGAAGGCCCTGCCTGGCGAGAATCGTTTGTCTGTCTGCCGTGTTAGTGTGTATGTATGTGTAGCTGCAGTCTGGATTGAAGCCACAATGAAGACTATTGCAGTGCGAGAGATGGAATAGAAACACATATATCGTAGTTACATACGCGCGAGCGGGTGCGAGAGTACCAGTTCTACGGAGGATATTTGAAGAATAATTAACGAAGCTCGAGCGAGATATTTTGGCGTGTGTTTGTCAAAAGCTTTTTAATGCGATATTTTTGTTTTATTAAAATTATTAAATAAAAAAAAACTCCGTCCCTTTCGTTTCCGTTGAAACTTTGATAAAAATAATCGATAATCTAAAAAAATTTTGCTTTCTTTTGGCATGAGAACTCTGTTGTCTTTTGATGTCGTAAATGTCCCCAAATTTTATTACTATTTTCTAAACTATGTATCACCATTTTTTAGAGATCTACGATTGGCATTTTTTCCAAAATTCATGGATATTGCTGATAATTTAAAAAATTCTAGCTAAATGCTAAGTGACTTGCAGAAAAAAGTGCAAGAAAGCAGTTTTGTCGGAAAATTGTTCAAACTTTGAGGATAAAAAATACTCCTAAAAAATGTGAGCATCTTATATGTTCGCATACTATAACTGAGAAAAAAAGGCAAAATCTAATCAACTTTGATCAGGGCTCTCAACGCCAAAAAGTTCGTAAAACTTTTTTACGATGTCAACTAAATATCTTCTAAATTTTGGTAATGGACCTGTAAGACAGTGGCTACGAAAAGTCTGTGAGTAACAAAAAACGCGAGAAAAAAGGTTATTTTTTTGTTATTTATAAAGTTTCAACGAAACTTTCAAAAAGCTCTCTGAAATCTTACGAGTACGTTTCAAGTTCCATATTTTAGTAACAGGTGGCGCATAGATACATTTAGAGAAACTCCTGGTAAACAAACGTGGATATGTAATATAAATTGAAGCCAATAAACCTATGACTATCCTTGTCGTTAACATCAGATGTACACATTAGTAGCCGCTCCTTGATATACAAATTAAGTGAAGTGAACGAGAACAATAATCTGCTGGTTTTAAAGTCGTAACGCTCAATATTATTGATTCTCGTGAATGAAATTCTGTCAGCAAAGAAGGAAACATTCATACCTACTGAATTGCAACTGCCGATGCAGTAGAACTTTCTTTTCTTTCGTATGATTTTTGAAACGTTATACGTCTGCCGATAGAGCAAATTTGCTCGCGGTGCGGACAACATAAACCATCAGCGTGTCGCCTATTGATTCAAAAAATCTCCCAGAGATCAGCATTCGTATCTTCTCCTCATCAGGTTTTTCCATAGTTTCGACGTCTTTCGTTCGGGTCGAGCATGGTTTTTAGGTGTTTCAGGCTCGATTCAATCACATATCAGCTACATTTATACTGATAAAACGAATATTCAATATTGCGAAAGGATTACTATAACATTGAGTAAAATTTCGTATTTGTCTCAAACATAGAAAAAACACAATGTCCTAGTTTCTACCGCGCTTTGGTTTATAAAATTATTTTTACTTTGCCACTTGCAGATTTACAGATAAATGTATTCACCATCTGGATGCGTAAAGTGGTATTATTGTTTTGAAAGTTGTTGAAAACTGGGCTAAATTTTTTAAAACAATTGAATTATCATTTTCAGTTCATTTCGCTCAACAGTTGTAAAATATCTGTAAAAAAATGGCCAATTAATGGCAATGCATTTAAAAAAACATTTTAGATGGTTATTTTTTGGCCATTAGGTCATTATTAATGTTGAGCATTTATATTAGAGTGAGTTTTTAAAAAATATACATCGTCTTAAAATTGGATCAGTCATGTATCATGTATTCCGTACATATAAGCAATGAAGACTGTCTTAAAAAATTAGTTCATTATGGAACAGAGGTCAGAAGTTTTGTAAATAAAAAACGACAACTTTGACAATAGACAATTTGTGTTTATTTAACCTCTATTACGACTTGCATCACTTGCCGCTCTAAAATTTTACAATCTACAACGAATTGGCCGAATTTCATTGTGCATGGCCTCTACCAAATCTTATTGTGCTCCAATCTATAATCAATCAACAGATTTATTCAGTAAGGAAAAGTGGTCCCAATTGAAATTTTTGTTCTAAATGGGACCCCTCGCTTCTTACTTCGATTTATAAAAAAAAAAAGAAAAACTCGCTCGAACTAATGGAATTCAGCGATGAGTTTTTTTGCAACTTCTCTTTCGTGACGAAAAAAGCAACGGGCCCTATTTAGAAAAAAAGGGATCCTATTTGGACAACCTATCCCAACTTTTTTTGCCTCGGTACATCCTGTACTTTTTATATTCGTAACATTCAGCTGCACCATCAACTTTCAAACAGTAAAGGTATTTCAAAATTACACGCTTTTGCATTGGCTAAAACATTATTTCTATCAAACACGTCATGTACATTTACATATGACTGATGTGCGACATGAATTGATAAATTCAAAGAGTTATCGTTAATAGTTATGAAATAATGCAACGAAAATTCCCAAAATCAACAGTATGATGATAATAATGATAATAATAATAATAATAATAATACTTCTCTAAATGTAATCAACTATGTCAACATTCTCGAATGACGCTCTTTGCTTCAATTATTTCGAGTCCAGCACCTCGTTATAACATTTAATGCGAAACGGGAAAACAGAAAAAATTATAAATTAAAATGTAATTTTCAGTCCTGAATTCATTGCACCAGCAAGCACCGTTCAATTATCAGTTTTTTATTCATACTAATTAAATTGTATACAAAATCGTTTTAATTCAATGAAATTGTTTTTCAAAGCTTACCAACGAATTCGCGCGTGTCTTTTCCGTTTGTTATTTTTTATCAAGCTCGTATTTTTTTTTCAAGATTCACTAATTTTACTCAGGGATTTGACAAAATTGACATTGTTTCATTTTTATCGAAGAATTCGTCATTATTTTATAACCATGAACAAACCGTCTTACTGAACAACATGATATGTACAATCTGATGAATAATTCAAACGCGTGCGCTTTATGTATTCCAAAAAATCATATAGACAAATGTCATTGTTCAGCTTCGGAAATAGGCCATCGGTCCGCGGTTTCGACACTGCGGCGAGGTGAGTTAGAGAATTAAATTTGCAACGACACGCGGAATACAAAAAAAAATAATACTTCAGGAATGAAAATTAATCAATTTAATTCATCGTCAAATTTTTTTCTTATGTATGTGTGATAGTTGCATCCACCATGAACACGAATAACACTGACTTATTCATTAAATGTATATATAATCAGGCTTCTTTTATATTTCACGTATATATATCAATATTGATTCGAACATCAAAATACTTTTTAGTTTAACATTTTCACAAATATGAATTACATTACTTGGAGACGAAGTGTTTGCTTTTACTTTGACAGATAATAAATACTTATTTAGCTACCAAATAGACAATTCCACAATTTATTGGCGTCGTAGCTATTTTTAATTAATTAATGACAATTTATTCAAGTCGTAGTTAAAGATTTGTTTTTTTTTCGTGGTTAATACAAGAAAGCAATGTATCAAAAAGAGAAAAAGTTGAGCGGCAAGATGTAATAGGGAAAATATATATTTATATATATTCATATAAATATTTTTTATACTTTTTATTTATATATAATATATATATAATATATATAATATGTATCAGCTGCTTACTAGAGTGAAAGGCATCAACAAAAACTTTGAATCTTTCAACAATTTGATAGTTTAATAACTATATGTATAATCAATAAATTCTTAATAATTAATACCGCACTGATATAGGCTTGATATGATAGTGTGTGACAATACATGAGATTGTTTTTTTTAATATATATAATAATATATTTAGTGTGTGTATGTGTGTTTTTGTACACAATTTGCGCACTATAACATGTAACGTATGCATACGTATCATATGCAATCAAAAAATTAAAAACACTCGACTAGTATTATAATATTTTTTCACATTTATTTACAATATGCAATAGACTTGTAGGCTTATTAACTTTTCCAAAGTCCGAAAGCCTCGTTTAATTTTGTAGATCAATGGTGTCTTCCGTGTGGAAAACGTCGCTTCAAAATTACGTTAAACCCTGCGTGATCTCGTCGGGATCTCTGCACAAGTAATGAGACCATAAGGAAGTCATAATTTTATTTATTTCTTTTTTAAATTGAATAATTAATTTAAACTTCTAGTAATGAGTTATTTAGTAAACAAATTCACAATTATATCAATCTTTGCGATTTTTCTAAATCATCGTTGCAGATCAACTGACTTATGGCATTCGATTTATCTCTAAATTTAACATCATTTCCAATTAAAAAATCGACAACATAACACATTCATACTTTATGCATTAACAATTAACGTGTATGCGCGTGTGTGTATGCATATGCATGAGACAACTTCTCGTTTTCATCGATATATGCATAAACACCACTGCCCTGAAGTACCCATAATAGTCTGTCTTTATCGTATCTGATGGCTATTTTGTTTACACAACAATGATGACTCCTCATAAATTTTACATTTTACGAGTAAAAACCCTTTATATGAATTTTCATACAATGAGGGGGGGACGAGTGTGGGAGGGGGCCGGACAAAGGAAACGTCATTTTTCGAATACAAACTTTCACAGATCTTACTGGATGCGGAGAAATAGGTATAACTCAATGAACGTTCATTATTGTCATCGTAAGAACTAGTAGCCATTTATATAAGCTTTAAATCTTCTCGATCGTTTTTTTTTTTGTAACCCTATTCAGCTTTCCTTGGAATTGTTTTTTTCTTTATCGCGTATTACACAATTTCCAAACACTGTGAAAGTTTTTCGTTTTTTTTTCTCATATTGTTTGCTGTTCGTCGCGCGTCGAAATGTAGTCTTAATAATGTGTAAATACATTTTTGCCACAATATGTGCATATCATCATGATCACTGAAAATTGTCGTTTGTTTTCGGCGCTGCTATATATACCATATATAATAAATCGAGTATCAGTGGAATGCTAATATAATTTAATTGTAACGGGCTAACAATGTACACCTGAGTTCAGGTGTAGTTTTGCAACAATCATACTTCATATTGCTTAATTTTATGTATACTCATTCTAATACAAAATTTTTCAGCCTAAATCGCATTATATTTGCTTTCACGTATGCATATTATGTATAATATTTATATTTTTTTGTGTCGTAAAATTATTTATATGACTTAAGTGTGACTATGTGTTTATATGTATACGTATGTATAATATTTATATATTCTTTCAATCGTATGTATACAGTTTATTATAGATTACTTTTTACCTCGTAATGTTTTTTTGTTAATATTTATATAGATGCGTATTATGTATAGTTTTTTTAATGACTGTACAATGACGACTTTTTTGGACCCGTGATCAGATAAATTAAAAAATATATAAAATATTTCGTTATAACAATGCAAAAATGTTACGGCAAACAAACGCTATCTGCCCTTGTATTTCCGCTTTTAACCGAAGGATGATTTTTTTCGCCTTTATTTTACCTCGCATACTTCAAAGTGTAATTGTTGTAATACGAAATGAATTGTCATTTTTTACTTTGAGTAATTAAAAATACAACGTAGCAACGACGCGTAACCTGAAATGATGAAAAGTGCTCCAAGTACGCACATTACTTTCAATAATTATAGTAATATTATCATTATTTTTTTTATTCATGAAAAAGTTTTCAGTTGAAGCAAGATTAATTCGCGTTACCGAGTACAAGCGTATATCGAGACACATCAAACGTAAGAATGTAGAATTGGTTCCATAATTAAGTCTCATTCACAACATGGCTATAAGAATTGTCATTGTATAGTGTATAATATAGTGGTTTTTTTCGTGCTGTATGTTAATTAATTTTTTTTCCTCATTATGCTCATTGAGTTATTACATAATTTTTTTTTATATATTCTCATGTTTCTTAAGAAAAGCAGGCATTTGGGTACTTGATATGGCGTTGGGAGTGTAATTTAATTTTTTTTTTACTCATGATTATGTTTTGTCACAAATAGTTTATCCATGTATTTTACGTAATGACGCGTTGACATCTTTTAGAATACAAAAAAAGCTATTTTTCTTTTAGCATGAAATCTCAAAACTCACAATCGTGTTTTTTTCTTGTTTATTGTGTTTAATTTCAACTACCTGAAGCTAGGCTCATTTCTTTACTATGGGTAATTTTTAACTCTTACGTTTACTTTTATATCGTAGGCTATTATTATATACAAGTACAATATTTTGTTATTAGCCATCTTACAGTACATCTTACACTTTTTTTGTTCATCAAATTATTATGTCGATTTTAGTCATCACGATTGATATTCATCAGGATTCGTACGTTTACTGATGATTTAATTGTTTAAATTCGCTTTCTTCTTTTTTTTTAAACCGTGTGTTTGCTGTCTTTGGACCACGAATAAAAGAAGAAAAAATTGGCACCGAGCCAAAACCTCAAGCGATTCAATACGGTGCACGCGAAAAAATTAATTGCTTTATTCATAAGAGAGCAGCACTGAAATTTTAAACTCTGTCGATTCGCTTTTGATAAAACCAACAACAACGAATAAAAGAAAGAATTTTTGAAATAAGTTAACAATTAAACACGCTGAACCGAACGACGAGGGAACTGCATCGTGATGATTTTTATCGTCTTCAGGTACTGAAATTACTTTTATGCAGTTTAAATGCTATTCCGAAAGTTCGTCTCAACGAAGTAACTTTATCTTACTCTTATTAAAGATACGGTTTCTCAGTCTTTCTCTTCCGCGAAATACCTATCAAACTGACTCTCCGCTCCGTAATATAACTTGCGCTTCCTCGAACGAGTTACAAATTATTCCGTTTCGTGCCCGCGACGTCTGATTATTTTCGTAGATTAAATAATACTTTTGATAAAACTTTTTTTTTCAAAACCTGTTGATAAAACGAAGAGTTTTTTTCTCTCTTTTGCTGGTGTGGGTGAAAGGATGGGAGGAGGATAAAAAGGAATTCATTGATCCTACGCGCGCGAAATTTCGATAAGGGTACGCAATATTCAGGGCAACTCACGAATTCGCATACTCTTTACAAGTTTCAACTATTTTTGTTTTTTTATACACTCTCAACGCGAGAGAGATAAAGAGAGAGAGAACGCAAAATCTTGTGCTGGATTATTTATCACAATATACACGTACTTATACATCGGCAGTGATAAAAGTAAAAGCCAACAAATCTAAGTGTATGTATTAATGCTGCACGTAACGAAGAATCGTAAGAGCGGAACCGAAAACTTTCTGCCGTTTATTTTTAATGTCGACTAGCGTATATATCTCGAAAAATTCGTAAACTATCTAACTTCTCGGAACGTGAAAAAGTTCACGATTATTTTTGTTAATATTATGTTACACTTCGATATCATCGTACTATGGCTTTTGGTTTCTTTTCATCGTGAAGGCCCTAATTTATTTATTTTTTTCACGAATTGGCATTCTGTTATACGATTGATGATTTGCGATAAAATATGTTGGAATAATAGAGGATAAATAGAAAGACGGAGATAGAGTTAGAGAGAGTTGAGATAGAGAAAAGAGTTAGATACGAGGCTAGAAAAATGCTTAACAATTGGAAACGTTACTTTGTTCGTACAACGGCCTCGTCGTCATTTTTTTTTCTTTACTCTGGTTAATAATTTATAATTATAATACTTATACATTAAGACTCGTATTTAATATTGACGCAAAAATGTTCGATCGTTCAAATGTAACTTTCAGCTTAATCTAAAAAAATGGTCCATAGAACCGAATGTTCGTATTATTATTATTTTTTTTTTCATAATAATCGCATCGCAATTTTGCGGGACGCGCGCATCACATCGAAAAAACGTATAGTCCAAGTGTAGTTGAAATCTGTTTTTTTTTTTTGCTGTTTTTTCGTATATATTATAATTGATGTCGATGTTTGATTTTGTGTGTGTTACGAGCTGCACAGACGCGTCGATCGACGATAACAATTCGACTCGACGGCGACGACGACGACTGTGGCTGCTCCTCGTCCGAAAAATGCGAAGTTTAAATGCAACAAAGTGTACGGTTGACGACAACGACGAATCGAAGATTTAGAAGAAGCTTTTCAGGAATCCAGCGGGTCCGGCCTGTGCAATATTTTTTTTCAAGCGTTACACAATGTTATTTATTTATGTTTTTTTACCAGGATTGTTCTTATATACTCACATCCTGTTGTGCAGCTGCTGCTTTGAGTTTTGCTTGTGCGGCTTTGAGTGCTCTGCGAGAAAAAGATTTCGAATTGCGATCAGTGCTCATTCGAACGATCGAAAAATAAAAAACGAAGGTCCGAATCGATACTCACTCTTGCAAATCTCGTATTTGCTTCTCTTTCGAGTTCTGCTCCTCCTGTGACATTTGCACGAGCTGCAGCAGTCGCTCCGTCTCCTGAGTGCTGCGATTCGCCTCCTCCTTGGCCTTCTCCAGCTCCTTCTCCACGTTCTCGAGGAGCTTCTGGAGCTCGGCCACCCTCTTGTCCGGCGAACCTCCGCTCTGTAAAATTGAACGAGAGCCAAAAAATCAGTATACAATCGAGTAAATTGACACATTTTTTCAAGAGCCGTACTCACCTTTTGCAGCTGCTGCTCGAGCTGATCCATCTTGGCCTTGCGCTTTTTCAGCTCCTGATCGGCGTTCTGTAACATACGCTCCTTCTCGTCGACGTTTCTCGCCTTGACATCGACTTGCTTGGCCTTCTCCTCGATCTGGTGCCTCTGCTGCTCGAGTTGCTGTCTCTGCTGCTCGAGCTGTCGCTGCTGGGCACTGGTGTCCTTGGCCTGGCCCTGCTGCTGATTGGCCAACTGCTGCTGCGCCTGCTGCAGCTCCTGGCACAGCATCTCGATCTGCGTCTGGAACCGGTCTCGCTCCACGTTGGCCTTCTGCAGCTCCTCCTGGGCCTTCTCCAGCTCCTTCTTCAGCCGGGCGAGCTCCGCGGCGGCCATCTGATTCTGGTGTCCGGCCTGGGCCTGCTGCTGTTGCTGCTGTTGCTGCTGCATCTGCTGTATCTGCTGCTGATGCGCGTGAACCTGTCGCTCCACGGCCTGTCGCTGCTTCTCGGCCGTGTCGGCGCGCTGCTTCTCCAGCTCCAGCTGCTTCTGCCACTGCTCGAGCTGGGCCTGTTGCGCCTGCTGCGACTGTCCGCCCACCTCGAGCACCCGTTTCTCCGCCATCTCGGCTCGCTGCCGCTCCTTGGTGAGATTCTGCGTGAGCACCTGCACCTGCTGCGTGAGCCGGTGCAGCTCGGCCATGGACTCGGCGCTGGGTGGCGCCGGGCCCCGCTGCTGCAGCCGCCTCAGCTCCTCGCGCTGCTTCTCGCCCTCGGCCTCGCTGGCGTTCAGCTCCTGCTGGAAGTTCATCAGCATGTCCTGCGACTTCTCCAGCTGTATGACCAGCTGGTCGCGCTCGACCTGCAGCTGCTTGGCCTCGGCCTCGAGCTTCTGCTTGGCGGCCTCGATGTTCATCGCGTGCTTCTCCCGGTTCTCCAGGATCGCGGCCATCTTGTCGCGCTCGCGCTGTATTATCTGCAGCTCGTGCGTCAGACGGGCGATCTCCTCGCTGCCCTGGATCTGCTGGTGCTGCTGGGCTCGACGCAGCTCCTGCCTGACGGCGTCGCGCTCCTCCCGCAGCAGGGATGCCTCGGCCAAGAGGCGCTCGTGCTCCTTCTTGTTGCTCTCCATGAGCTCGGCGTTCTTGGCCAGCATCATCTGGCTCTTCTCGAGCTCCTTGGCCAGGCGGCCGGCCTCGAGCTCGACCTGGTCGCGCGCCACGATCGCCTTGTCCAGGCTGGCCCGCAATCGCTCCACCTCGATGCTCGCGCTCTCCGATCTGCAATAAAAGATTTGCGTTTGATTAAACAATTCCGATGTACTCATTAGACGATCGGTCTTACCTCGTCTTGCCCTCGGTCTGCATGAGCCTCTCGAGCCTGATTATCTCGACCCTCAGCTTCTCGTTGTCGGCCTCCAGCAGATCCGCCTTGTTCTTCAGCTTGTCGTGTCGATCCTTCAGCTTCTCCGCGTCCACGCGTATTCGCTCCTGCTCCTGCTTGGCGCGCTCCTGGGCCTGCTGTATCTTGGCGACCTCCTCGCGCGCCCGCTCCAGATTCACCTGTGCCTCGTGGTATCGCTGCTCCAGCTCGGCGTTCTGATTCTGGTAGCGTTTGAGCTCCTGCTCGCGGCTCTCCAGACGCTCGCGCAGCCTCTCGCACTCCTGCTCCAGCTGATACTTGCCGCGTACGCTCTCGGAGCGAGCCTCGTACTCGCGCTCGCTGCGCCGGGCCCGCTCGAGCTCGGCCTGGGCCTTCTCCAGTCGGTCGCGCAGTCGCTCGCACTCGAGCTTGAGGCGCTCGTGGTCCTCCTTCTGGCGCTCCTGGCTCTCCTGGTACTTGCCGAAGCGCGTCACGTAGCGCTCGCCCTCCTCGCGGGCGTTCTCCGCCTCGTGTCTCAGCCGCTCGGCCTCCGCTTGAGCCTTGCGCAGATCCACCTGCTGCCGGTCGTGCTTCTCGTACATCTTCTCGAGCTCGAGCTGCATCCTCGCCAGCTCCTCTTGGCTCTTGTCCGTGGCGGCCTGGGCTTTGGAAAGCTGCGACTGGGCGCGCTCCAGCTCGAAGCTCAGCCGCTCGTTGTCCGAGATGAGCTTCTCGCGCTCGCTCTGCAGCCGGCGCATGTCGATCTGCGTCTTCTCGTAGCGCTCGCGCGCCATGTCCAGATCCACCGTGAGCCGATCGAGCTCGTCCTTGGACTTCTCCTCGTGCTCCTTGGTGCGACTGAGCTGGAGGGCGGCCCGCTCGTACATCTCCTGGATCCTCGAGAGCTCCTCCTGGGCCTTGCGCGCGTCCTCGCGGCCCTTCACCGCGAGCGTCTGTTGTTTTTCGGCCTCGAGCTCGCAGCGCTCCTTGTCCGCCTCGAGCACGTCGATCTTGCTCTGCAGCCGGTAGATCTCGTTCTGCGATCTCTCGTACTTCTCCACGAGCTTGTCGAACTCCTTGCCGGCCATCTCCTTGTCCTCGAACGCCTTGCTCAGCGTGAACTGCGCCTTGTCCAGCTTCTCCTTCAGTATGTTGATCTCTGTGAGTGCGTCGTCTCGTTCCATCTATATTTAAAAAAATTTTTTTTATTAAATTTCTCATTTCTCTACAATGTACTTATGCGTGTTTTGAAGAAAAAAAAAGACAATTACCGCCAACTTTTGCTGAGCGTTGTGTGCCTTCTCCCAGCGGTCCTTGATCATGTCGATCTCTGACAGGGCGTTCTCTTTGTCCCTCTGATACTTGGACAATTGATTCTGCTGGAACTCGCATCGCTCCTGCAGCTTCTCCATCTCCTCGTGGAAGTTGTCGCGCTCCTTTTGCAGTCTCGCCATGATATTCTTCGGGACAAAAGCAAAAGCTCGTAAAAACATTCAACTACTACCTTTTATTATACTCGATAAATTAAGACTTCAGTTCTCGGACCGGAACTGGCCAATTATATAGCTCGACATCGAGCTGCTCAGCGCTACTTTATACTTTCAAAATGATTATATTCAAACGAAAGAAATACGTACTTGGGCTTTGTCGTATTTGTCCTTGAGGCGGTCGATCTCCAGCTGCGCCGAGTCTCGGTCCTTTTGCATTCGCGACATCTGGCCGTGCGTCTTGTCCAGTTGCGTCTGCAGATTCTCGAAGTCGTACGTTTGCTTCTCCTTCTCCATTTGCATCTGCGAATTAAGGGTCGCGATATTGAAATCCCGAAGATCGTCGCTTTATAGCTCGTCCAATGGAAACGATTAAAATTACCCTTCTCAGCTCGGCGTGAGCCTTTTCCAGCTTCTCCTGGAGCTTGTCGACCTCGGTCTGCGTCTTGTCGAGCAGATTCTGCAGCTTGTCCTGCTGCAGCTGGGCCTTGCCGAGGGTGCCCTGAGTGCGCTCCAGCTCCTCGTGGACCTTCTCGTACTCGGCCACGGCCTTGTCGCGCTCCGAGTGCAGCCGCGCCACCGTCGCCTGGGCCCGGTCGTACTCCTCGCGCAGGCTGTCCTGCTCGCTCTGCGCGTTCTCGAGTCGGGCCTTGAGTCGATACACCTCGCCCTGGCTCTTCTCGACCTTCTCCTGGAGCGCCGTCACCTCGGCCCGGGCTCGCTCGTTGTCCGCCTGGGTGGCGCGCAGCTCGGCCTGCGACCTCCTCAACTCCGAGTTGGACTTCTCGGCGCGCTCCTGTATGCGATCGAGCTCCTGCGTCGAGCTGTGATGGTCGGCGGCTCGGCTGCTTCTGCCCCCGTACGAGGGCGTCTGCGAGCGCTCCACCTCGTGACGCAGCCGCTCGTTCTCGAGCTCGAGCCGGGTCAGGCGCTGCTTGGCCGCCTCCCAGTCGGCGCCCGAGCGGCCGACCTCCGAGGCCGCCTTGTCGAGCTCGGCCTTGCTCTTGCCCAGCTCGGACTGCGAGCTCTCGAGTTTGGCCTCGAGCCGGTCCTTCTCGGCCTGGGCGCGCTCCATCCTCGCGCTCAGCTTCTCCACCTGCGAATTATCCCGCTTTACATTCAGAGCGATCCAATCGGGAGTTCGTACACCGATATATCGAGACGTGCACGCACACGACGACATGCCAACAAAAAAAGGCTACATTACGAATAGACGTACCTCCGACTCGAGGGTGTGTATCTTCATCTTGTACTCGGCGATCTCTCGCTCGTGCAGCTCTCGCTCCTCCTGCTTCTCCTGCTCGGCTCGATCCCGCTGCTCGCGCAGCTGCGTCATCTGCTTCTCCTTGTCGCCGATGGCCTCCTCGAGGCTGCTCAGGGCGCCCTCGCTGCTGCAGTGGTGAGCCTGCATGGCCGTGAGACGCGCCCGCGCCATGTCCACCTGATTGTCCTTCTCCTTCAGCAGGTCCTCGAGATTTTCGATCTGACGGAATCGCGATTCGAGGTCGATTTATTCATCTTCTTTTTTATTCAAAAGCAGTGACATTACCTTTCGTTGAAGCACGTTGATCTTGCGATCCTTGATGTCCATGTGATCCTTGAGCTCGGTCAGTTCCGTGTTGAAACGATTTCGCTCCTGTTGCGCTTGCAGTGCCGCCTGGGTCTTCTTCTCGATCAGCCGATTCTTTTCCTCCAGTCTCTGTCGCATCTCCTCCGTCTGTGTGCGTTCGAACAAACAAAAAAAAAATCGATATAAAACGTTCTATACACACTGCCCAGAGTTCGATTACCCGAGCGATACGAATCTATAAATAAATAAACTACTATGCACTCACGTCGGCCTGCAGCATGTTGTAGTGCTCCTCTTTGGCGCAGAGCGACTCTTTGAGCACGGCAATGTGCCGCTGATAATCCTGATTCTGCTCCTCCAGTGTCTTCATCTTGGCGGCCATCGCCAGCAGTTCCTGGTCGCGTCGCTGCACCTCCATCCTGAGTTCGTCGAGCTGCGAAAGAAAATGCGATCGTCCGGAAAACGGTAGTCTTGGCGGTTCCCATGCGTCAATGCGTTGGGTCGTGTACAATATATGGCCCTCGTCGTCCTGCCCAAGTATGGTGACGCCGGGCCCGAGTATCATCTGCAATTCTTCCTCTTCCGGGTCCATCGGATAGCCTCCGTAAACCTTTGGTGCCGTACGTTTGGTTTTTGTGGGAGGGGAATTTTTTTCATGTCATCAGGCTCAATTGCTTTTACGTCGCGCATCTCGCGACCATCTTTCATCAATTAATTTCATTTTTTTTTCTAAACGTTTAGTTACTCGTGTTGTTTGTTGTGGTTTTTCTGTGATGAGCTGACTACGTCGATGGATTTTTTTTTACTGATTGATTTGGTGGTGCGTAAACGTCGATTTATATAGTTATAGGAATGATTACGACCAGCATGATGATATTTTTTTAATGATTGCGTCGCCATACTCGGGCAGGACTCGTGTTAACATGCAGCGCTTGACCATGGTTGTTATTTGTTACAATGAAAGAAAATAATTTGATTATGATTTGTATATTAATAAAAAAAATTGCGTTTTTCAATGGAAATGGCTTAATATTACTCTACTGTATTTCTTTTTTTTCTCATTTCATTAGTAGCAGTAAATACTTCACGAGTTAGACATAACTTTCAGTAATCTTATACTCTAGCGTTAACCATTATGAAATTCCAGTTTTGCATCGAATCAATTTTAATTAGCACTTGGCGTATATAAATATAGCGAGAAGCTTCTATGTACTATATTTTACTCTGCTTATAATGGATTGTACAATATATTATATAATAAGAGGAGAGAAACGGGTTATTTCAATGCGAAGGTAGTAGTAGTACAAGGCAGCAGTATGTCTCTTTTAGCATCATAAAATATTCTCAGGTAAATCAATATTTAAACTGCGGGGGAATGAAAAAATTACCGCCGCACTCTTGCCCAGTTATAGGGGTTGCGAGTGTACGTTGTTGTTTTTTTTTCTTTCCGGAATGACGATAGAGAAAAGAAGATATATAGGAATTATTTTCAGGACAATTATGAAGCTTTTTCAATATTCAAACAACAGTATAGTTTACACATATAATATTCGTTCCTGGAATTCGACAATTGTCAAAAACATTTTTCATTTTTTTTTCTTTTCTTTGCTCGAATGCGTGTAATTAATTAGCGGTGTGTAAAGTGACGTGTAGTTATAATTAGAACCCAACACCAACGCATAGACCTTGATTATACACAAACACACCCCACGTGTGCGTGTAGCTCTGTAATTCCTCGGCATCGTCTCTTTCCGCAGCGAGCGAGATCAGAGACACTTACTTGGTGTTTGAAGTGCGTATCGTGCCTGGCGAGCATTTGTGCGTGCTGCTGGTGCACCAGTGCGAGTTGATGCTGATTTCGGAGGGCGCCCGGCCAGGTGGGCGACGTCGAGGTCGGCCTGATCATCATGCTGGGACCGCCACCGAGACCTCCGTGTCTGCGCTGCGGAGCCGAGCCACCACTGGGCACCGGCACGGCCCTCGCGAGCTGCTCCCTCAGTCGACCGCCGCAGTCCTTGAGCCGCCTCAGCTCGGCCTCGAGCATCTGCACCTGGCGCTCGAGCGTCTGTATGCGCGCGTCCTTGGTCTCGAGCAGGGCCCCGAGCATGTTGGCGCTGCTGCCCGAGACGGTGGTGCCGAGGCCCGGTATGCCCGCCAAGCACGTCCTCGAATTGGCCGTCGAGGCGTAGGCCAGCTCGAGCTGGGTCTGTAGGTTCTTGAAGTGCTCCTGGGTAATTCGATCCTATATGCATAGACGCCGCCGCCGCCGCCGCCGGACAGAAGACATCATGATGGTCATATTTTTTGCTTTAGGTTTGCTTTAATATTTAACCCGCGTGAGAGCTTGTGTGGTTGTGCTGGTTCAGTGTTGGTGCATTTTTTCTGTTATTAAAAGTTTTTTTTTTTTGAAAGTGGGTTGTGTCGTACATGATCTGCTGGCATTGCTGACGTTTTTCCCTCAAATCCAATTTTTCGAAATATTTACTCGGTATAAATACTTGGGTCAACGGTGGAATGCAAAGTTTTTTATTCTCAAGTATACGTAATTTATTCATCGAACGAGCCATGAGTCACATCCTTCTTTTCTTTTTCTTTTTTTTTTAATTTTTTTTACTATTATTATTTTTATTCTCGCAAACCTCTTGAGGACGATTACGAACTTTCATGGTAAACGACTTTAACTTTATAGACTTAAACTTGGCAAACATTCGAGAGACTTGAGAGCACCCTCATCATCCCCTCGTGCGACGGCTGTGCCGCTGCTTTTTGTCTCACCTCTCTCTCTTTCTCACACACTACGAGCTAACTTTGCGAAATAGCTTTAACTTTGCAATAATTTTGCGTATAATAATCTCCATCAACGTTTTTCAACTTTTGCCCGCGTGCCTGTACCGGAGCTAATATTTCAAAGTTTATTCTTTTTTTGTCGATTGACATATTTGCTATATAAATTTTGAAAATTCCATACTCTACTTTGAAACGTGAATATTTCACAGTTATAGTTTGCGATACAAAGCCAGCGGAATTCGGTAGCAGCCACGATCGATAAAAGAGACTAACGTAAAAAAAAAAAAAGAAAAAAACAACAACACACGGAATTCTTCAAAAGAACCGCGCGAAGGGCGATTCGCAATCACTCAGAATCTAACGCCTCGCTGTACTTGAATATTTCATCCGACGCCATTGGAGCGGTCTAATTGTTTCCAAAAAAGCTCTTATCTCGGATTATTCTTTATTCTTTTATTCATCGTGGCTGATTGATTTTACATAATAAATTGTGGTGTTTCCTGAGGGGGCAATTGATATTTTATGACTGTATTATATTTTACCAACAAAATCGAATCAAAATATTTCTCCAAGTGATACGCGAGTTACAAAGTTTTATGCACATGGTAATTCAAAAATTAAAATATAACCGAGGAAGAAAAACAGTCAGAGCAAAAAATAATCAACTCTCTCAGATGCGCACATAAGTTAAAAATAAAAGAGAAAATAAATAATTAACAAAACCTATACAGAAGCAAATGTCAATTTTCAAATGTATTAGCTCCGGATAGGCATGACCAGACTGTGGATTTGCTTGGCAAATGTTCGGCAATCGAATGTGTCTCAATTAACTAATGATCGCGATCGGGAGAGACGTGATAGTTCACTCTCACTCCTCAGCCTGACATATAATATAAACTGACCCGCGGGTGGGCGAAGCACAACTTTTTTTTAACTACTTCTGAACGTTCTCTTTGGAATTTCCAACCGTCAGCACAAATTACCAATCCATCCTGCGTCTGAACTAACTAAAACGAGTCGCTTTCAATTTCTCGTCCCTCGTTGGCTTCTGTATATTATATCTTTCCCTTTTTCTTTTTCATTCCTCGTTACTCAATTTACTGGAGCAGTATAAACTGTGAGAATAAACTTTTTTTCTCTCTCATGATCTCGAGGAAGTTTTTTTCAATCGAGGCATTGTCTATTTGAGAAATTGTTATATCCATTCTCTACGTAAATGCACTGAAAATTTATCTTGGATTCTTCAGTGGGGTGTCTTTAGGCGTGTGCCTCGACTATGTGCGTTGCTCTTTTGAAGTTATACAACTTTTCAACTCTCATAGCTCTTCAAATACTATGACAAATTGCTCGAATTAACTATTCAATCTTTGGCACTGGCAAACTTTTCTCACCATATCCAAATTGAGGTGAGCAGTCATATTTAAAACGTAATAAACTTGTTATTTGTGTTGGAAAAGTAATTTTCTTGAAATGCTTTTCTTCCGTCGAATATTTCGTAAATATACGGCTGTTTGAATATTGTTCGAGCAATAAATTCGTTATTTGCTTTTTTTGTGGGCGAAATAATGAAAATAATTTTTAGTTATATTTGAAACCTACTTAGCTTATTTACACTTCGTTTTATAGTCAGAGAAAAATTTAAGTGGCTGTACAGCCCTTGAAATTCTCACAAAATAAGTATTTGAAGGAAAAATATTGACAAGCAGTAAATATACTACTACTATTTTACAACGAGTCTTTGATTTTCTAAAAAATACGTTCGGGTTCGCATCAATCAAAACAAAGAATGAAACCAGGATGAAATATAATAAAATTATTTGCCAAGAATGAATTTAATGGAACATATTGATGTCGATATGCTTGTCATGAAAATCTTTACCATATTTACAAATCGCATGGTGCCTTTAAATCAGAATGATATGAAATCATAAAATAAAGAAACGAAACAGAATCTGAAATCGTGAATCTGTCCATTTGTATAAAACTTTGTCAATCTTGTTATCGTTAAAAAATGGTAATTAAATTTTTTGCGATAATTGCGAACAATTCAAAGTCATAAAATATTCATTAAAGTGTTGGCGATCGTTTTTGAAGTAAAAAAAAAATGCATGAAATTTTTTTTCGTCACTGAAATTAACCGAGAGTACCTGATTGTCCCGAACTGGAAATCTGCTCAAGCTTTTTTGCAGATAATTGCTTGGATGAACCTATACAACGTTTATTAGCCGTTGCGATGGGATGAGAAATACACATACAGATGGTTAGATTTGAAAGATGATTATGGCTTATTTACAATATTTGCAAGATTTGGTTTTTAATTGTGTTCATGGCTAATGATGGCGATAGGTTGTCATATAACGTGAGAAAATGTAATGAGGTAGAAGAGAGACAGAGGTAGAGAGAAAGAGAGAGAAGAGAAGAGAGTAAAAAAAAAAGATTCGATCAAGACTGAGAATGTTTTAGTGTTACTGTTGTTCAACTACGGTTTTGTATACATCCGAAGCAATCAATTCCATATGAAATAACTGCAAATTTTTTCAACAACGAACAAAATGCTCGTTGACACAGATAATCTGATATTCATTAAAAATATTCAAATAAAACTATATTATCACTTATTAATGGCTTTTATTGAAGACACATTATTGTACTCGTGATCAATTTTTAATCATGATTCAAAATAATTACATTATTTTCGAATCATATTTTGTGCCTCTGTAGAAGCACTAAAACTGTTAATGAAAATAACAGTCTACAATTTCAATCAACGCTAAATAAGCCAATTACAAAATTCAAGCCATAACTTTATCTTTAGAAAAATTCTGCTCTAATTATTATGTAAAAAAGCAGCGATAATATAAACTTTTAATGTAAAAAATCTTGTTGCTTATAATTATTTTAGAATAAATTGCCACTTCTGATACTTATAATCTAATAAGCTCTCTACATGTAAAAAAAAACTTAACTAACAATCTAAAATTTACTATGTATATAAGATAATAAGCTGATAAGGATCGCCAAGGATTCAATTTACTTTCCAATATTGTGCTATTATACAATTTTTTTCATTTCAGAGAACACAACTTGAATCCATTGTTACCTTTCAATAAAAAGGTTGACGCATTATATATCAAGTTTACTTCGCGACTGGGAGCGTTGGTAAAAAATTTTTCAAGCCCCAGTCGCGCATAATTGCAAGTTTTAAAGTGAAAAATATTTCAAGCTCAATGTAAAAAAATTTTCCGCAAAAAACTCTCGATGCGTACGCGGAAAAAAATAACAATTTTCAAGTCTCGATAAGAAAATGCTAATATTAAATAAAATCCAAGATTTTACTACGCTGCAATTACGATAGGTAGGCATGTAGTTAAGCGGCAAGATAAAATATCGATTTTTTGCTACTGCAAGAGCGTTATAGTTAAAAAAGAGTTGAAGAGGAAAAAAATAATTTTCTTTTTTTTGCATCGTTGTAACGACTCTTCGTGTGCTACCAGAGAAATGAAAATATATACAGGAAATATTTTAAAACATGCACAACCTCCAACGGCAAAGTCAATAAATAATGTAAATATTATATGAACCTGCTTCTGAGCCATAGACTGCATCTGCTGGAACATGATACGTTCTTCCTCTTTACCTAGGCAAAAATTAATTATTTATTATCATAAAAAACGAAATTAAAAGAAAAATAAAGAATAGAGGATGTTTTCCCTCCTTTTTATAATCAACGAGCTAATTCGCATTCGCAAGTTGTTTTGCGCTCTCTCGTGAATGTTTCAGCAAGTTCCTTCGTAAATAATAGATAATTTTCGCGCGCTCACAGTTAACATCAGCTAGTGCGGTACGAGCTTTTCTAAAACGTTGTAATTTCTCTCGTGATAAATTAGACTTTTGTAAGTTTTATGCGCCACGATGATACAACGCGAGAGAGACAGATGCGATATAAAGTCACGGGCGGTCGAGTGGAGGGAGGCTCGGAGAGCTGGTAAAATGATAAAAGAAAATGTTTGACTCACCCATGCCCTTGTTTTGAAGCATTTCCAAAAGCTTCTTAATACTTTCATCCCGAGCTTGCAGAGTCTGCTTTTGCGTTTCTATTCGAAGCTCCAGCTCCTGAAATTAAAAATTGAAAACCCGCTTGGTTGGTATAATCACGTGTAATACACAGGCACACAGTACATATCATAACAGTTTTCGTTTATTAGTTTATGGAGTAGTTTAAGTGTAGATATGCTTTTTTTTAAGGAAAATAGAATAGACAAGATAATAAGTAGGATCGTGATCGTTATAGTTTTGTTTTTTCTGTAAAAGTAATAATTTAATTGACTGAGGGGGTACAAAATATATGGCCTGGATGCGATGCCACATCAACAACGCTAATGGAATAATAAGTTTTCTCCGTTGGATATCTGCCATTCGCTGGTGTATGCAGGTAAAAATAACTGTATAATTTATTGTTATTCATAAAAATCGAGAGCAAAAGAGAAAAAAGATTGATCGAGAACAGGCCGGGGGTAGTGGGGGGGTGGAAAAAATCATCAGAGCCATTGTTACAGGGCTACCAGGCAACATTTTTATGAAAAGGAATAAATCAGGGTTCGTCGACAATTCCCGATTGCGAACACGGTAAGGCTGTGTGCCGCCGCCGTCGCACGCGCTCGCACACATCGTTTCGAGCTTGCATGCGTGGGTGTACGCGAGCGCGTGGGTGTGTGTGTGTAAACGTTGCGGAGTGGTATGTATACATGATGAATGAAAAAATGACGAGCCGATGACGGAACGAGGGTAACTATAAATATTACATATTTATATTCAAGATTGAGTGATGAGAGCTTGAGTGTATATAATTGTTGAATGATGATGGTGCGTGTTGTGGATTAATACATAATTAATAGATTGTGGTCGTTGTTGATATTGTCGTGAGAGGATTTTGTTGTTGACTGTTGTTGGCATATTTTTTTTTTTTTTTTTTTTTTTATTAATGCGGAAACCTTTATCGNTTTTTTTTTTTTTTGATTAATGCGGAAACCTTTATCGTGTCTCGCAGTATAGCGATCTCGCGAGTCAAGTGCTCGTTCTCGCTGTACAGGACTTCCATTTGCTGCTGCATCTCGACGCTGGGGCCACGCATACGCAATCGCAGCTCCTCCTCCAGCTGGCGCACCATCATGCTCTGCTTCTGTAATCATACAAAGCCAAACACACCCCCATCGACGAGGATAGCGTCAGAATTACACAAATTTCTTCGTGGACAGAGATAGAGAGGAGAGAGAGAGAAGAGTGAGAGTGTGGCCGTAATTGTGGACAGAAGAAGTGCGAGTAGTTGTAGTAGTAGCTCTAGCCCCGGTGAGTGACGTTACATTATATTTGTATAATATGTACAGAGGTTGAAGAGACAGGAGCAGAATGTAGATATAATATTTACAGAGCTTAGTCACAACCACGAGTATTACATCACGCATACGCAGAGATATATATAATATTACAGAGAGATGTGTATGTAGAGAGTGGTTGTGCGAGGGTGAGCATAGTACATAGTTGGCGATCTACGTGTTTTGATAAATCCAAGATTTTCCATGTTTTTTTAATAATAATCATAATAATCGTGTGTATGCACAAGCGGAGAACTTGGCCTGGCAGTGGCAGTAGCAGCGGCGGTGGCGGTAGTAGTGGTGGAACGTCGTTTACACGCTCCCGGGGATAGGTTTATTGACTCGTGGCATGCCGCCGCCGATGCCGCCGTCGTACCGTTTCGTCGCGTGATACGGATGATAAACTATCGTTCACACGTTCGGTCGGCTGTTTGCGTGATTGTTACACGCTCGTACATATACCTGTGTCTGTGTGTAGGAATGCATAATACAGTGCGACTTTTCAGACTCTTCGCAAAGCCCGAGTTTATAATTATACGTATGATAATCCCTTCGCACACACATACAACCCCCCAACCCCTCCCTCTTTTTTCTCTCGCTTTCTGGCTATAGCATCCGAATCAACTGGTTGGTATTACGCGATTAGAAAAATTCCCCCGCATGGGCGCTTATAATCCTCCTCCACGGAGTAGTTGTCTGACGCGCGAGCCACGAAGCTTCATCGTCGTCGTCGTCGTGTCGGCCTCGAACGTCGGATTATCTTGCTCAAAGAGAGGCTATACTGTATACGAAGGTGCTGGCGGCGCATGCACACACGTCGCGGTGTTTTGTCTGTCGAGTGTTCTATGCGTTTGTGTGTACGTGCATTATTACGTATTATGCGCGGATCTAGACACGACGCCTAGTGTGTCGGTTGACGCATGTAAAATTAATATCGGTTATTGTGTACGTTTATGTACACCCAACATTTCTCGTAGCCGCATGAATGCATATAATATATACCGCATTCGTAATTTATGTATGTATGTATGTTTTTTTTTCCCCCATTACAGTTTAAATAATGCGCGCGTCGCATGCACGTAGGATGTTATGATCCGAGCTTTCAGTCGCCGCACATGAGCACACACACACACAGCGCTGCTGAGTCGCCGCAAGCACACACAAACGTATACATACATTATCCAGCGTTAAACGTGATCGATATGCTCACGAATACTTCTTTTATTTTCTCTTATTCTCTCGCTTTTTTAATAGAAACTTTAAATTATTCATTAGAGTTTAACGTGCTGTATGTATATAGCTAATCTACGATAACGCGTGGGCGCGGATTTATATTATAAAATGTCCTTCTTTTGGCGTCGTTGAGAGAAAAAAATTCCGCTGCTGCTGCTACTTCTGCTACGAGATATATTGATTTCGATTGAATATCGCTCACAGTCATTTCCTCCTCTTTCTTTTCTTCTTCTTCTTCTTCTCATCCTCTTTTTTTTACTTTTCTCTTTCTAGATAAAAAATACTTCCTCGCAGCTGCAGCAGCACATCTCTTTCTCGCTCTTATACTACTCGCGCTCAAACACGGCATCACAATTTGACGCTCATGCCTGGAATATATTATCATCTCCCTGTGTGTGTGTGTGTGTCTGCCGTTTTTATGCAGGTCATTCCTCGTCGAATAAATCATCCCCCCGCGCAGCTTTTTCGCCCGTGTGCTCTCACACGTACGCCATACACAGAGTGTATGCGATTCTCTCTTGTAGATGCGCATGTGTGTGTATGCAAAGTTTGCCGCCGTGGAAACTCATACACGCCACCATTTTGAATTCCCGAAATCGCTACTATATACCCATGCCGGGACTATAACTATCGAAAGCTTCCGCCGTTTATTCCCCGCAGCAGCAGACCGCAGCAGTACCGAGGAGCGAAGCCAACGAGGGATGATCAGCTTTCACAAAGCAAGTCCAATATATTTAGCGATAGCCGCGGTGAGCCTCTCTGACTCGGGCACGAGAGAGAGAGAGAGAGAGAGAGAGAGAGAGCGGATAGGCAGTTTAAGTGGCATGAAAGGCAAGAGAGCCAGGCACAGCAGCAGCAGCAGTAGTAGTTGTAGTAGTAGCAGTAGTAGCAGCAGTAGTAGTAGTAGCATTTATCGAACGGCGGGGAGAGAGCTTGCACAGCTCGTCGATCAGCCGTCCCGAGAGTCAGCCAGCGAGTAAAGCGAGTGAGAGAGGGACACGGTAATCCTCCTCACGAAATCGCGTCTAGTTCACTCCTTTCTTTCTTTTTTTATTTCTTATTCTCTCTTTTGCTTCTCTACTTTCGAGCACTTAGCGCGCGCGCGCGCCCGCGTCCACCCGCCCGAGCAGCAGCAGCACGGCTTATTTGTACAACAAACGGCTGGCAATCGCTCGATTTTGTACACGCCGGCTCTCCATCTATCGAGCGAGCAAAGGAGAGAGAGAGAAATAGAAAAAAAAGCTCGAGCCTCGCTCGTTGGGTAGGGCGCTCCGCTTTTCGCTCGCATGGATGTATGTATACAGCATCGACACGACTCCCAACGATATGTACGTGCGGCGGCATCGTTGCGAGCGAGAGAAAGTCGGTAAAGCATGAAAGCTTTGGATTTTTATTTGTCGGGATGGATGTATGTGTCGTCGTCGTCGTCGCTGGGCTAAAGTATATAAGAGATAGCGCTGCTCGCGAAGGGTATAGCGGAATGTGTGTGTGTGTGTGTGTGTGTGTGTGTGTGTGGGTGAATACATGCGAGGGGCTGCTGCTACTGCTGCTGTGCCGCGCACACACGATGTAGAGTGGGTCACGAAGTTGCACGTGTTGAGGGGGGCCTCGGATATCTCTCTGTGTGCTGCTGCTATTGCCGCTACCGTACGAGCGCGGGGGATACAATCGCAGGAATTCACACAGTTGCCCGAAGGCTGCTGCTGCTGCATCATTAGACGACTCTCTTTCTCGCTCGCACTCTCGGCGGCAGCGAAGGCGACGCGCATTCTCCCACACACACGCTGAAATGGGGTATAGGTTGAAGCTATGTATGCGTGTGTGTATGTGTGTGAGTAAGAGAGAGAAGATCGGTTGAAACGTCTGTGTGAAACGGCTGGCCTGTATATACATGTATACGATACACGTTAAAGCTCTCTCCGCGCTACTTTTTGCTGCTTTACTCTCTGGCGCGCGCGCGAGTGAGCGAGGCGAGCGCATGTGTCTGCCTTCGCGTCTCTGTATGCGTGTATAATACAGACGACGTCGACGATGAATATGTGTGGCAGCGGGGCTGAACAGAGCAGCAGCAGCAGCAGCAGCAGCAGCAGCAGCAGTGGTAGTCGAGGAGGACGTACGTATATCGATCGGCCTAAATATAAGCTTGCGAGAGAGAGAGAAAGAGAGATAGAGAGGGAGCAGCAACGAGTCGCTTGCGGCGCACTCGGTCTGCGCTTCTGTATACTATACTACTGCTGCTACTACTACTGACTGCCTGACTGCTGCTACTACTACTACCACCACCACCACCACCACTGGCGCGCGCGGCGCCAACGCTTTTTTCCACCCTTACTTTAACGTCGATTCGTTTCTTCCTTCGTGTATACATTCTTCTTGTTCTTCTGCTGTTGCTGCTGCTGCTGCTGCTTTTTTCCTCTCTGCTTTGCCTCTTTTTTTTCAACTGTACTCTGTATCCGTGTGTGTATGTGTTCGTACATGTACGCGTGCGTATAGTCCAATCCGAAACGAGAAGATGCATTACATGAACTCGTCGTCGTCGTCTCTCGCTTGCGTCGAATCGTCGCGCGACTGCCTCATGTGTGTATAATACACACTCACACGGCTATGTGTGTACGTGTGTATACTATTATATACGCGGAATGTGTGCGTGTACACACGTATACACGATGATGAGCAAGCGAATGAGCGAGCAAGTATTATATAGTATGAAACAAAAGATGATTATTATTATGCTATGGCATAAAAACAAAAAGAGAGAGACGCGCAGGTTTATCAAAGCTGTGCAAGCACGAGAGGCAAGGAGGGACGAGGCGAGAGGAGCTTTTGGCATACAACACACAACATGCACAAGCGAGTTAAAGCGAGATATGGATGTAGGATGTAGGTGGGAGAGCTGCAAAGCAGACGAGTTGAATATAACGGATGGAACAGGGAGAGAGAGAGACACACACATTTACTGGGCAATGCACGTGGGATGGCTCGTAAAATAATGCCAACGACAATGCTCGAGCTTGCGGGGGAGAGCTTTTTTTTTGTTGGAAAGGCACAATCACTTTTTTGTGTCAATCATCGGTTCACGAGAAAAAGCTCACCTGGTTCTCCGAGTTGAGCAGCTTGAGCTGCTCGTTGATGAGGCTGTACTTGGTGCTCTCCTCCTTGCGCAGCGCCCGCTCCTTCTTGAGCTCGGGGCTCCAGAAGGTCTTGATGCTGTGCATCGAGCTGCCCAGCTTCTGGTTCGTCAGTTCGAGCTCCTTCTTGAGATTGCCCAGCTCGCGCTGCAGATCGTTGTTCTGGTGCTGGAGCTCGCCGATGTAGCCGCCGGTGCCGTCTCGCAGCAGGTGCGGATTCGGGCTCTGGCGGGCCGACATGACTGGCCGCATGCCCATGCCCGCCCCAGCCCCAGCCCCGTAAAGCACTTCGTCTTCGAGGTAGCGCGATCGCGACAGCGACGACGGTTCCCTTATGGGGACGAACTCGCGGTCGTGATCGAGCAGGCCGACCGAGGCCCGATCGAGGCTCGAGTATCGCGGGCCCGCCGACGACATGAGGGGCCTCGAGCGCGATCTGTGCTGGCCCGCGCCCTGCGACATGCTGCGGCCGCGCTCCTCAAGCAGCAGCACCGGGCTGCCGAGCTCGTCGTCCAAGCAGACACCACCGCCAGCGCCGCGAACGCCACCAGTCGACGACAGGCCGTAGTAGGGACTGCCGCCGCCGCCGCCGCCGCCGCCGATAAGCGTCTGCGGCGGCGGCGGACCGCCGTAGTAGAGCGCGTGCTCGCCGCCCGTCGGCGAGTTGTTGCCCGAGCGGCTGGCCCGGAGCTTGGCGCGCGAGCCCATCATCATGCTGTTGCTGCTCATGTGCTGCAGCAGGGGCGAGCCGCGGCCCGAAGTCCCGTAGCCAGCCATCTGGTGCTGGGGCGCCTGCTGGCCGTAGCCGCCTCGCGAGGGACTACGGTCGACGGTGGGCAGCTCGCCGAGGCGCCGGCCGCCAGCGCGCGGCGAACGAGCACCCCCGTAAGCGTCTCTGCCGGCCATCTGCCCTCCTCCGCCCCCCTCCCACCTGACTAAGGGCCCCCCAGCCCTCCGTCTTGTCTACGATAATAACGTGGGCTTATTAACACCGAGACTCTGTTCTGCTTCTTTTCTGTTTTTGGCCGTCGCGTATCAATCGCGCGCGTCGCGAGGGATAAGAGGCGCTCCGGTCAGCGCGCGCGCGAGCTTTCGATCCTCTCTATCTCTCTCGCGAGCTTGACTATCTACTACGACCCGACGAGCGTCATCGTCGCCGCACTTGTTTTACACCTCGTACAAAAACGCCATTCGCGCACCAGCACCACCATATACACGCACTCACACACAATTGACACTATATTACTTCAAAAAATACAAAAAAAAAAGCTCCGCGGTGTGCTTTTCTCTCGTTGCAAGTTCTCCCTTCTCGTGCCCGCGTGTCTTCGTCGTCGCTTGTTATAATATGCATGCACACCGTGCGAGGACGGAACGGCCGTTCCACAGTACTTGTGTGTTGTTGGTGGCCGTTCTGACTCGAGACCGAAGAGAGCACTGGCCGCGCGCTCTTTCCTCGCGTTGCTGCTGCTGCTTGCTGCTGCGCTTCAACAACGCGATCGATCTAGCGGCGTTGCGAGCAGAGCGAGACAGAGAGCGAGCGAGATGGAGCGAGAGCTTTGCGCCGCGCGCGCGCAACCTATCTACAACCCCCCGTAAAGCCCGTAGCCGTACACTCGTACTCTGTGTGTGTGTGTCTGTCTTTTTCGCTCCCTCTTATAGTGGCGGCGATGTGTGCCATGCGCGTCTGTATGTGTGGGTGGTGTGTCGAGTGTATGCCACGAGCGAAAGCCGCCCCATCGTCGTCTACGTGTGTGCGTGAGTATGTGTCTGCGCTGCTGCTCACAAGCTCGCTCGCTCGTTGCCCTCGACGGTACATACATATATAGTAATGAGAAAGAGAGAGAGAGATGTATGTACGGAGATTGTCTAACGCAAGCACAGACACACACACACATATGTGCGGCATACCTTATTATTATACACATGTATATAGGCAGTCGAGTGCAAAGTCCGATCTCTCTCTCTCCAGCCAAGGAAAAACGACCTTCGATCGTGCATGGCAGTCCACCTTACCTATGCACGCATGTGTGTGCGCACAGCAGTGCATGTGTCGTTGCCGCGACGTCGCAAGCGAGCGCAACGAGAGAAAATTGCTGGATTACATATCTCTGTGTATACGTGTGTGTATACATATTATAAGTGGGTCGATCGTCAATGGGGGTAGAACGTAGCTGAGCGCCTCTTCCATTCCACATACACACACATACATACATGTAATAATAATAAAATGTCACATGCATGTGTGTGTGTGTGGGTACGTACGCCGGGAGCCCACGGCTTTTTCCGAAAAACCATTAGTCAAGCTCGATATATATTACATACAACTTCGGAGCACACATGCATGGCACAGGCATGACACAGGCGGGGGGTGGTGGAGAGTTTCTTTCGCTACCGTCTCAATTACCGCCCCATGCGCGCGCCCGTGTGCACACACGTTTAAATATATTATTGCGAACCGATCGGATCGCGCGCGCTCGACGGTTTGCTGCTCGTTGGTTGGCTGGTTGGTTGGTTGGCTGGTAGCAGGAAACGAGAGAATCAATCGCGAGCGCAGGCAAATAACGCCTCCCCTGACTGATGACGACGACGATGACGATGTTTATTATAAGCAGGGATTTTCTCGGGACGTTAATTAATACAATATAACGTACGAGCTTATCGTAATCGACGTTCGGCGAGATTGATCCTATAATGGAATATCTTATTGCCGATACAACGTTAATAAATATCGTTTCCTGTTTCTTTTATTTTTGTTTCGTCGTGTCGCACACCCGAAACCTCTCGACAATGGCAAATTATCGATCGAAGATTTCTATCTGTCGCGCGCGGCGATTGTTTTCGAATTCCACGTACGTAAAGTCGCCAGTAGCTCTCGTGCAGCATACTAGTCTATATATGAGCAGCGCGTCGTCGTCGTCGTCATGTCATGTCATGCGCTCGTCGATTTCGCTAATTGGAGCCTCGTTGTTGCCTGCCATGCCTGTGCTGCGCTTTTGTCCGTTTTGTTTCCTACGTGTGTTGTACACGAGGCTACTGTATAGCGTGCCCGTCCGCCTATGAGAAAATAATATCGAAAATATGTGGAATGAAAACAAAAACAAAAAAGAGGGGAGACGAGCTTTTTGCAAATGCTCTGCTGTTGCTGCTGCTGCTGCTTTGTGCATTAGTCTTTTTTTTTGTCGAGTTTTGTTGGTTGCGCGCGTCAAAAAGTGTTCTATTTTTGAAGTACAACTTCTTCGGGGAGATTCTACAGGGAATTTTTCAGCGTATCCGTCCGATGTCATCGCGTAGGCTGTACTATTGTCGACTTAACTTCATTATATCGATATATCGAGTGAATTCACCAACGTTTTTCGGCACTGTCATAACTCGTTTATTATAACTTGTTTGCAAAAAAATCCTCGTTGCACGACACTGCATACCAATAAAAGACTAAAAACTTTATATAATAGCGCTAAAATAATGTTGGTACACCAGTTTCATACGTCGAAAATTCCGTTGTGACTATCGAAATAAAATGTTTAAGTTGTCGATAGATACAGTTGACGTCAAAGAAACGCAATATTAAAAAGTTCCGTGCGATTTAATTGTCTCTGTTAGAAGCGCTGCAAAAAGGAGTCATCCCGCGAAAAGTAAACGGGCGTGCCATCGTCGGAGGAGGCAGGAGCGAGCATATAGATTTCTCAGAAACGAAGCGTTTCAGGCGCTGCGATTAGTTTAAGCGCGAGATCCAAGAGTCCACTCGATCGCTTCTGCTGCGGCGTCTCTTGCTAACCGTCGTTTATGACTGCGCTTAAATATATACGTCGATGTAACGTTGCTCTCTCGCGCTCATTGCCTGCCGCATTCATCTCGCCTACGGGCTGTCGTGCGTGTTCCTGCGTGTTATTGCTTTAAGATAATCGACAGTAGACAGTCGACGTATACGTAGCTCGCGCACATTTTTACAGTTGCTGATTGTTCAGTACACGTGACGACGCCGCTGCGTTAACATCGAAGAAGTATCACATCGACTGCAGTCAAAGTGATTAATTGATTCTCGAAAAAATAAAAAATTGTTGTTCTAACAAGTGACTTTGTGTTGTGTGTTTGAGTGCGTTGAACAATAAACATGTCCGACCACGAATCCAATGAAAGTTCTGATAGCTCGAGTGACGAATCCAATGAAAGTTCTCATAGCTCGAGTGACGAAATCGACGACGATGATTCCGAGCATGCGAATCAACTTGGCAAAATCAGATTAGATAAATTGACAAGTATGCGTAAGGAGTTTAACTTAAAGACCGAAGGAAAGCGAAGACGATTTCTCGAACAACTGTCTCCGTTGATCAAAAATTGGAAAGTCAAACTTCCTAACCTACGTGACTTATTTCTTCCAAAAGAAATTGATCGTCTTCTTTCGAATGCCATAGATGACATGATTACAAAAGGTAATTCAGGTTTAATATTCTATAAATTCCTAGTTCGCACCGGTTACAAAGACGAGCCCGAAATCGGCAAAAGCGGCCAACCGTTGTTGCATCGAAACACCGCAGTGTTCCATGCATTGAAGAAGGACGTCGACTTCTTCCCCCAGCTCTTTGAGATTTACGACAGATACGACGCGAATTACATCCACCAGTCGGGCATGACGCATTTTCATGTGGCCTGCAAGTTTGGCTGCTACGACGTCGTCGAGAAATTCCTCGAACACGGCCAGGATCCCAATTGCATCGAGCGAAGAACAGCTGCAGATCCGCCGCTGCACTTCGCTCTGCAATATGAAGAATTAGAAGTGGCCGAATTGCTGATTAGAAAGGGCGCAGATCCGAATCTGACCGATGCAAACGGAATGACAGCTCTGCACCTCATTAGCCAGAGATGCAGCGACTACGATGAAGTGGAAGGTTTATTCAAGGCCTGCGACGACGCGCAGAAGACGCTACAAATCGATGCCGTGGACTGTATGGGCCGGACACCGCTACACTGGGCTGTGATCTGGAAATACAAGAAAGTGACCGAAATACTGCTGAGAAGAGGCGCCAGTCCAAATGTGGCCGATGCAGATGGATTGACTCCCCTGCACTATATTTGCCGCAAAGACGACGAAGATGAAATGGTAAAATTATTTTTCAAGATCAACGATGACCTACAGCAAACTGTTCAAGTCGATGCCCGCGACAAGAAGGGTTGGACACCGCTGCGATGGGCCGTGACGAAATTCTTGCCTAGTATAGTCGATCTGTTATTGGATAATGGCGCCGATTTGTCCAACTTCGTTTTTCCTAATTTAAAACAATTCAACGAGTTACATGAATCGTGTCCTTATAGATCTTATGGTAGTTTGAAATTAAAACTGGCATCTGGCTCGTTGGCCGTCGTCGAGCATCTAGAAAAAAGAGGATACCAATTCAACCGATTCAATGCCCTGACAATCATGTCGCTGTTCGCCAAATATGAATTGTTCCAAAAGTC